AAAACACACACAGAAAATACTTGATGGAAAGGAAAATAACAGTGATGGGTACAGTCCTGATGCAGGCTCTAATAGCTCTGTGTAACTCCAGCTATCTTTTTAGGAACTACCTGATAGGGTGGAGTGAACAGGATACTGAGATGGGAAATTGTAGAGAATACCTGGGAAGAGTTTGGGGAGGGCATAAAAAGCAGCTCTGTATTAGTTACCCCAGAGGACGAGGGGAAAGAGAGAGAATGCATGTATCTACCTGCAGCATGATTAGGGACTTCAAAATCTCCATTTGGCCCTCCATCACTGTTATCATCTGCTCCTGGCCCATTAAAATTCCCTCCTGGCTCTCCTTGCTGTCCTGCCTATTTTATAATTTTCATGTATAGTCTCTCTCCGTGGCCTGCGTTTTTGTTTTTCAGCATCTGAGGCTTGGAGCACCTCTCAAAGCATGTCCGCCTTACTCCTCGGTTGCTTCCTCACTTGGCAGAGGCACTCTTCCGGCCATGTAGGCCATATCTGCACAACAAACAAAAAGAACCGTGATTGTTAGTGCACTCACATTTTAAAATTACAGTAAAATGCACCTCTTAAAATATTAATCAGTTTCTCACTGTCCCTTGGCAGGCACCTAGCTCAGAGAACATTCTAAACATGGGTGAGTTAGTCCAGTGGAAAGAGGGCATTCAAGATGGGGCAAAAGACCTGGGAGGTTTAAGAGAATCACTACAAGGTACAAAATTGCAAAATCTGCTACCATTTTCCACAGGCAAGGATAATTGAAGCTAGTATCTCACTCCTGAGAATAAGCAAGGGTGCATCTCCTGCATGTATATGGCTCAAGACTCTCTGCTGCTCTGGTCCCTGCACAAATGATTGCCGATTGGCCCCGGAAGCTTTCCTAAAACGGAGGCAAGGACAAAGCAATATTGCCAAGGAACCTTCAGCAGTGGATTGGCAAACACCTCCAGGAAGATCGTCTAGAGGACTCGCATGAAATCTCAGTGTGCATTAACACTGTTCTGCCTCACTGCGTACTATGCAGAGGAAAGTAAACAAACATAGTTAGCCTTGTATATTTCTATCCCTTCTCCCACTTCTAGCATAACAAAGCAGAAGTCAGCTCTACCTCATACAACTAAGCAGCATCAACTCAAAAATATCACTTACCAAAGCTCCCCTCTCCTGCATCATACACGCCAAAGACAGATTCCTGGGACTCGCTTGAACTCGCCTGTGTTAAGAGGAGGTCCTGTGGCCTGTCCCAGCTCATCCTACAACTTAACTTCCTCATCATGACTTCATCCTTGGGACTGAGTCCGCTGTCTGCTGTCTCCAGGCCCCCAAAGTATCCACAAGGATCTTGGTGAAGGTGAGGTTGCCACCAAGGACGGCATCCAGCTCCTTATAGAAGTGGCAGGTCTCCTGAGCAACACCAGAGCAACGGTTTGACTCCCTTGCCTTCTGGTACACTGCCTCAGCTCCTTCGTCTTCTCACAGCACTGATGCATGTCCTTTTCATACTCCTTCTCCAATATGCCAGTGGTTCCCAATTGCTGGACCATGGACCGGTGACAGGCCACAAACCACTGGCTGCCAGGCCACGGTGGCTGTCGTTGCTGAAGATAGCTGTCTGCAGCAGCTCTGGGGGCTGGGGCTTACCCTGGCCCCGAGGTGCCACACAGCAGCCAGCTTCAGCTACAGCAACCATGGTAGCTGATTTTGCCCAGCAGCAGCGCAGGAGGCACCTCCCTTCCTCCTTCCCCCTACTACCGAGGTAAGATGGCGGCCTGGTTGGGGCTCCGTGCTCCTCCTTTCCTCCCCTGGCTCTAACCATGGGGGCACAAAATGTGCTTGGGGAGGGAGGAGGTACGAAGGAGGAGAGAGCGTGCGCGCGCTCCACCAACAGCCACCCCCTGCCCGCGTGGCAGTAACAGCCACACTCCCTAGAGAGGGAAGCTTCACTCTGGGAAGTGCAGAGGTGGGATCAAAGGGGTGCTGGGTGAGAGCATGGTGGGGTCACAGGGCAAGAGGGTGTTTTTTTTGGGAGGGGTTCCATTTGCCATAATTTTGGTTTAGGTGACTTGTATTCACACATACAGTACATCTATGATGGAGGCAGAACAGAGCCAGGTTCACCTGTGCAACATTTAACTGCCTTGACTACAAGACCACATTGTTAGTTTTCTTTCTACATTTACCTGTGTAGTGGGGCACTATTTGAAATTCCAGAGGTGGGCGGGCTGATGCCCACGAACTTCTAAAAGCCCCTCCCCCAGCCTTTTGCAGGAGACACGACTGGACCTGGGGCAAGAGGGTGTTGGCATAGGCTGTAGGGGTCAGATCAAAGGGCGTTAGGCACTGGGAAGCAAGGGGCTGGATTAGGACAAGGGGAGGGGTGGCTGGGGCTGAGGAAGGGCAGGGCTTAGAGGGGTGGGTTGCAGTGGGTCAGTGGTTATGGAGCCAGGTGCGGCACAGCTCGTGCTTCTGTCTTGGGGCAGCAGATCTGAGGGTGTCGGAGCAGGGTTGGGGGACCTCAGAGCTTGTGGAACAGGCAGTTGCAAGGTCAATGGGGCTGGATCAGGGTTTGGCACAACAGGCAGTCATGGAGTTTGTGGAGCAAGAGGCACAGGGAGTAGTGGGGCAGGATCTGGGGAAGAGGGAAGTTGTCAATTTAAGGCAGGGGTCACTGGGACACAGGTACCAAGGTTGGTAGTGACAACAGATGCACGACAGGCTCCAGGCAAGACAGAGCTGGTTGACAAAAGGAAGCTGGCAGCAGGGGCGTTGGGAAGCGGGAGACGGTGGGCACTGGGGTGACAGGCTTGGCAAGACACACTTGTGAGGTAATGGGGTTAGTGGGATATAGGAATATCAGATGATGGGTTTGGCAGGTTTAATAATACAGGCAGTCCCCGGGTTACGTACAAGATAGGGACTGTAGGTTTGTTCTTAAGTTGAATCTGTATGTAAGTCGGAACTGGCGTCCAGATTCAGCCGCTGCTGAAACTGACC